TAGTTTACCAATGTCTATTTTACCGACAGTAATTTATCAACAGCTATTCCACGGAAGGTTTTTTTAACCAATTGTCGATATGTCGGTGAACGCATAATATCATATGCACAATATGTAATTACCACCTTGGATCCTGACTTTATGCGAAATAAATCGGCAAAGCAATGATATATATTATTTTATTGTAGGAACGAAAATGGAGAAATAATCGAAAGAGCTAAAAGTGGGATAATACAAACAAAAATTAAAATTGTAACAACAGTATCTTTTTACGTGTTAGATAAAGGATTTGCTCTAGCTTACGGAGGAGATGATTCTCCATCCAATCTTAATAATTCCACTGTCGACATCAGTACTGGTTCAACTAATGGCGCGTACATAATATTTTATTATTTCGAAACAAACAAACGAACAGGACCATTCCTATTATATCAAACATCTACTAAAATAATTAAGTTAAATGGTACTATTCAAACTTTAACATTGGAAGGAATTATGTGTAGTGTTGAATTTAGCGGTGCCGGAAATACATGTTTTTTATTATTGAAATCAGAATTTACTATAAACAATAAAAGAAATATTACAACTTCGCAAAATGTCATGTTGAAGATGTCTTATCTCTCTTCTGGGTAATTAAAATATTGTTAGTAATACGTATATTAAAATGGTAAATTATTAATTATTTTTAAATTATAGATCCGTAACAAAAATAGGAGAAATGAAAAATGGTTCTAATGACGGATACAGTATTGAGCCACTTCAATTCGGTGGTTTTCTAATGTTAGTACTTAAAGACGATCTTTTTGGCTATATTCTCGATGAAAATGGAGAAATATATAGAACATGGTCATTACCAAAACCTATAAATTTCTTGCATAAAAAAAGTATTTATACAATTCTTGCAAATAATTCAATTGTGGTTGTGGATAATCAAGATAATTCGACTTGGAAAGTGCTATGTGATGATCTATTTAAATTTGGTCAAGGTATAAATAATAATATTGTTATACCGTATTGTCGCGAAATAACGCGCAGGGGTGAAATTACAAATTTCAGCCTAGATTAAGCTTAATTCGGACTAAACCTCCAAATAACGCCCATACCCGTTATTTCGCGACAATACGGTATGAAAAACATATATTCGATTTTAAACTTTTAATTCCATCTTCTATAATTTTTGTTCAATAAAGATAATAAATTCAATAACCCGATCATAGCATCAACGAATCCGGCACTAGGATCTCGAGTAAACGAATCCACGACACAACTATATTTATCATTCACTTATCCTGTAATTCTTTCCAGTTCAAACATTTCAATATATCAACGTATCAATGGAACAGATCATGACCTATTGCGCCAACGATTTCAAGGTGATTCGCTAAATCAATTTTGTCGGATTGATCCAAATAATAATCAAACCGTTATTGTTGTATAATCTTGCACGGATTCATTGTCCAAACAAAAATTAAAATCTGGGATTCCATGATTTGAAATCGAAAAGAAACTAATTGACGAATTTGGATAAATTATTCGAAGATAAATAGTATTATCCCAGCATGTTGTACTTCCATTAACTTGCTTCACTGGAGTTCCGAAACGTAAAATTATAGTTCCATCGTTGGTTTTATCATTATCTAAAACCTCTAGGCCAGCCTGAGGATCTTTGTACGTGAATTGTTTTAGTTGGGTTGAAGGTGGTGGCAATAATATTAATATTGAAAAGATTGCATGCAGAATTATGATAAATTTCAACATCATTTCTTTTCATTAAAATCATACTTTTTTCGTACTGTACTCTATATATACTGATATATAATAGATAAACGTCTCGATATTCAAAAGTTTATTTATTTATTTGCATTCACGAAATATGGTGAAATGTAACAAATGTAACGTTAATTTTTGTTTCAAAATTACTGTCATGCTACTAGTAAGTTAATGCTTATTTTCTTTTCGTATTTATCACGTGATAACCATGATAACCGTTACGAGATGTGCAATTAAGATCCAAAGATTTACGTGCGTAACATTAGATTGACTTTATTGTGCCTTCGTACTATTTTAGTTGTTTCGTACTAAATTCTACATCTTTATTAAATATATTTAGTATCAATTGAGAATGACTATATCGGTGTACATCTACCTTTGAATTATATTAGTGTTGGGATCCGGATGTCCGGATAGACATCCGCGCTCAAAAACAGCTATCCGGATAGGCTAGGCTGGTCAATGGTCCAAAATATGGCTTAGCTAAAATGCAAATGGACTATGTCAATTGGCCCAATGGCAATATCCATTGGCAATTTATTCAGAACCCATCATAATATATTGCAAACCCTGCGGATAGGACATCCGTATTCATCCGGATATCTGTTGATAAATATCCGTGCTCAAAAATGGCCCCAAAATATCCGTAAATATTACGGATATTCGGATAATAGCCAATTATAATGCGTTAACCAATATTCTTATTATTATTATACGGTAAATTAAAAAAGTCTATACACTCTACCCTCGTTATAATGGAGTATTTCTCTAGAATAATTCAAAATTATTATTATATTAGGCCATGCAAAATTAATAAATTGGTTTTTATAACCCGGCCGGGTCAAAATCTGAAAACTTCTAAAAAATTTTTTTATGTTTTACAGCTGTTCTCATAAATTTTGGGACATCTGGTAAAAAAAAATTGACCGAATGATTATTTGGTCGATTCGATAAG